TCATATAACTGTGCCAGTGTCGTATATAAAAATTATATCCATAATTCTTGGATGTGAATGGCATTAATCACTAATACACATGCATACTACTCGTGGCTTGATGTGGGAGCTTGTGGCTCAGTTGGTAGTGTCCTCGACTCACCATGAAAGACTGGGACTGATCCCCAGTATGGGTGAAACGTGGGGCACGATTCCTTAAACTGTTGCTTGTGTTCACCTAGCAGTAAGTAGGTACCTGGGTGTTATTAGATTTGTGGGTTGCATTCTGGGGGAGAAGATTAGAGGACCACAGTGATGCAGGAACTTTATTGGGTTATTCTGTATGGTTAAAAATCTGAATAAAATCTTGTCAAGAAAATGTGGAAGCCATCCACAAAGATATAGTAGATCTTAATTACTTTATATTGATAAGGAAGAACTAAATCTATAGGAGTCATAAGAGCATTTTGGGAATGAAAGGCAATCAACTTTGATATAGGGAAGGGTGGCTCCAGTTCTTTGAAGAACCCTTCACCAACATCAAGGCAACCCACTTGAAGGGTGAAATATGTATAAGTGAACCAGTTTTTTGCATGAGCAAGGTCTGAAGTGTACGTTGCCCTGACTCTTCTCTCGTATAACAACCTGGCATGTGATTTGCAACACTAGTTTTTTGGTGATTTGTGTGTCGGGTTTATCAGTTTAGTTTTACTTAGGTCACCCTGTTCAGAGGTATAACGTGCTGCTGATGAGGGGATCTTGTTCCCAGGAATTAGAGCTATCCTCTCCATCAGATGAAACCTAATTGCATCCCATTCCTTGGGCATTCTTTAAAAAAGCCCCACAGGCTGAATGCTGCAACCTGAATGTAAAAGTAATTAATTTTTCAAGTAACCTCTTCCTTTGGTGGGTCACCACTCTGCATGCCTTCCTACCATGATGCCCCATGGCTCAGTTGGCAACACTCTCCTCACACATTAAATGTGGTTCATTTCCAGGCATGGATAGACTTGCCATGTATGGGCCAGTAGGCCTACTGCAGTGTTCCTTTATTCTTATGTTGGGCATGTTTTCTTACACCTGCTGTCTTTGTTCACCTAAGATTAAGACAAGTTACATGATTGTACAGAGGAATATAATAGTTGGGTGTACATGCCAAAAGCCCCTTTGTATGCAGAGCATTTCGGGCAGCTTAAAGATTAACTTAAAATTGGGAAGGCGATAATATATAGTTCATATGGTCATTAGATGAGTTACAGTGAGTATAGGAGAATTGAATATTCTATCAGGTAATGCTACAATGCTTTGATAAGTCTAGTAGAGACTTGTTACACTATTGAATTTGTTAATAAAGATTACAGTATTACAGTGTAACAATTTAAAACAATTTACAGTATGATGTATTACAGTTTAGTACTATTTAAAACGATGAAGTTTGATATTACAGTGGAACAATTTACATTATGATGTACTGTATTACAATCTAGTACTATTTAAAACAATGAAATGTAGACATCCTAATTTTGAACTAGTAAGTGGTTGAGCATTCATCAGCACAATATGAGTAGCTTTTGAGAAACTGGTAGTGGTTAGGTATGGTTTGTCTAGTTAATTTTGGGTGATGAGGTGATTTCTTAGGGCCTTAAACTGATATGCACAGAGGGGTCCTTTAGTGTGTTCTGGCAACGAATTCCAGATTTTCGAGCCTTTTACATGCAGAGCATTTTTGCATAGGGAGCGATGAACATGAGGGATATCGAAGAGTGATCTGTGTACCTGGGTAGGTACCTGGGTGTTATTTGACTGGTGTAGGTTGAATTCTTGGGAACAAAATTAAAGGACCCCAATAGAAATAAGACAAACAGTCCTCAATGATACACTTAAAACCTATGTTGTAAATTGTACTAATTGAAATATTTTTGCTACCTCTTTTTTTATATTAATGCATAATTAAGATTTACCACTCAGTAACCTATGTCTAGTCTTAAGTAGTCTGTAAGCATTATTGTAAATCATACTAACTACATTATAATTTTTTGCTACCCCTCTTTTTGTAAAATACATAATTTAAATGCACCACTCCATAACCTCTGTCTAATCTTAAGTAGTGTGTAAGCATTAGTATTAGTCTGCCTGAAGTGCACATGTGTGCTAGTGGCTCTCTTTGTACTGAAAAATATTTTATTACATACATGTAAACTTTACTTTGTATACTACACAAAGAAATAGTTGTTTGTTTATATAATGTATACATATATGTATATAATGTATACTATATATATATAACATATACTAGTGTATGTGTATACATATAATGTATAAGTATATAATGTATACGTATGTATATAATGCATAAGTACATAACATATACGTATATAACGTATAGGTGTATAATGTATAAGTATATAATTTTTTTCAACAAACCGGCTGTATCCCACTGAGGCAGGGGCACCTAAATTTAATAATGTGTACAGGAGAAGGGGTTACTATCCCCTTGCTTCCGGCATTTTAGTCGCCTTTTACGACATGCACGAGTTATGGAGTAAGAGCTCTTCTCCACTTCCCCATGGAGATGAAATAAAGAATAATAAGAGCTATTAGGAAAATAGAAGAAAACCCAGATGAGTGTGTAAATATTTACACATGGACATGCATGTGTAGTGTGACCTAAGTGTAAGTAGAAGTAGCAAGGTATACCTGTTATCCTGCATAATTATGAGACAGAAAAGAAAGACACAAGCAATCCTACTATCATGTAAAACAATTACAGGTTTCCATTTCACACTCACTCAGCAGGACAGTACAGTATTACCTCCCTGGGTGATTGCTGTAGGTATGTAAGAGTAGGGGAGTTAGTAGATGGGGAGAGGGAGGTATTAGGTAGATGGCGAGAATATTTTGAGGAACTTTTAAATGTTGAGGAAGAAAGGGAGGTGATAATTTCATGCACTGGCCAGGGAGGTATACCATCTTTTAGGAGTGAAGAAGAGCAGAATGTAAGTATGGGGGAGGTATGTGAGGCATTACGTAGAATGAAAGGGATAAAGCAGCTGGAACTGATGGGATCATGACAGAAATGTTAAAAGCAGGGGAGATATAGTGTTGGAGTGGTTGGTACTTTTGTTTAATAAATGTATGAAAGAGGGGAAGGTACCTTGGGATTGGCGGAGAGCATGTATAGTCCCTTTATATAAAGGGAAAGGGGACAAAAGAGATTGTAAAAATTATAGAGGAATAAGTTTACTGAGTATACCAGGAAAAGTGTACGGTAGGGTTATAATTGAAAGAATTAGAGGCAAGACAGAATGAAGGATTGCGGATGAGCAGGGAGGCTTTAGAGTGGGTAGGGGATGTATAGATCAAGTGTTTACATTGAAGCATATATGTGAACAGTATTTAGATAAAGGTAGGGAAGTTTTTATTGCATTTATGGATTTAGAAAAGGCATATGATAGAGTGGATAGAGGAGCAATGTGGCAGATGTTGCAAGTATATGGAATAGGTGGTAAGTTACTAAATGCTGTTAAGAGTTTTTATGAGGATAGTGAGGCTCAGGTTAGGGTGTGTAGAAGAGAGGGAGAATACTTCCCGGTAAAAGTAGGTCTTAGACAGGGATGTGTAATGTCACCATGGTTGTTTAATTAATTTATAGATGGGGTTGTAAAAGAAGTAAATGCTAAGGTGTTCGGGAGAGGGGTGGGATTAAATTATGGGGAATCAAATTCAAAATGGGAATTGACACAGTTACTTTTTGCTGATGATACTGTGCTTATGGAAGATTCTAAAGAAAAGTTGCAAAGGTTAGTGGATGAGTTTGGAATGTGTGTAAAGGTAGAAAGTTGAAAGTGAACATAGAAAGAGAAAGGTGATAAAGGGTATCAAATGATTTAGATAAGAAAAATTGGATATCAAATTGGGGAGGAGGAGTATGGAAGAAGTGAATGTTTTCAGATATTGGGAATTGACGTTTTTGGCGGATGGATTTATGAAGGATAAGGTTGATCATAGAATTGATGAGGGAAAAAAGGTGAGTGGTGCATTGAGGTATATGTGGAGTCAAAAAAGTTATCTATGGAGGCAAAGAAGGGAATGTATGAAAGTATAGTAATACCAACACTTCTTATATTGGATGTGAAGCTTGGGGGTTTAAATGCAGCAGCGAGGAGACGGTTGGGGGCCCAGTGCAGATGTCCTTTTAAGGGCAATGTGTGGTGTAAATATTATGCAGAAAATTTGGAGTGTGGAAATTAGGAAAAGGTGTGGAGTTAATAAAAGTATTAGTCAGAGGCAAAAGAAGGGGTTGTTGGGTGGTTTGGTCATTTAGAGAGATGGATCAAAGTAGAATGACATGGAAAGCATATAAATCTATAGGGGAAGGAAGGGCGGGGTAGGGGTTGTCTTTGAAAGGGGTTTTGGAGAGAGGGGTAAAGGGAAAGGTTTTGGGGGCAAGGGGTTTGGACTTCCAGCAAGCGTGCTGAGCGTGTTAGATAGGAGTGAATGGAGACGAAATGGTACTTGGGACCTGACGATCTTTTGGGAGTGTGAGCAGGGTAATATTTAGTGAAGGGATTCAGGGAAACCGGTTATTTTCATATAGTCAGACTTGAGCCTGGAAATGGGAAGTACAATGCCTGCATTTAAAGAAGGGGTTGGGATATTGGCAGTTTGGAGGGATATGTTGTGTATTTTATACGTATATGTTTTCTAAACTGTTGTGTTCTGAGCACCTCTGCAAAAACAGTGATGATGTGTGAGTGTGGTGAAGTGTTTGAATGATGAAAGTATTTTCATTTCTGGGGATTTTTTTTTTTTTTGGGTCACCCTGCCCTTGGTGAGAGACGGCCCCCACTTGTTGAAATATAAATATATATAAATTTTTATATATTTTATATATATTATATATATATATATATATATATATATATATATAATGTATATGTATAAAATGTATACATATAATTATGTATGTATGTATGTATATGCACACATCATTTATTTTGCTCTTAATATTTTCCTTCCAGGATGACAAACGTGATATGGGCAGTGGTGGGTATACTGGTTTTCTGCGCATGTGTTTGTGGGCTGGAGAATGGGTTGGCCCGCACCCCGCCCATGGGCTGGTTGGCTTGGCAGAGGTTCCGGTGCAACACAGACTGTGTCAATGATCCACACAACTGTATCAGGTGTGTAAATAAGGGCCATCTGCACACTCATCCTTATTTTACTGATAGGGTGCTGCTGTACACAAAAAATTTTTCATAAATGTATTCAACACTAGGGAAGATTGTTTGGAACAAACACTAATTTTCAATAAAGAATAGTTCAGAAAAGAATATAGGAAGTCCTTCACAAATTGAGTGGTAGCCTACCTGGAATAGAAGAGTATACATTCCACAACTGTAAAGTTATAAATATTGATAATAAAGATAATGGAACACTGAGAGCATAGGTTCTGTTTCTTTAGTTAAAAATATACAATTAAGCAGATTTTTGTGTTTTTCCAAAAACTTCTTTTGCCACAGGAAACAACATTTTTTAACCCTTTCAGGGTGGAGAGGCCCTTTCCTAAACTTGTTCTCAGAGTCAAAAATTTTTCTGAAAAAAAAATTATTTTTTATCAAAAGATAGAGAATCTTTTCCTGATCATAATGACACCAAAAGTATGAAATTTGATACAAAACTTACGGAATTATGCTCTCGTGAAGTTAGCGGTCTCGACGTTGTTTACACATAGGTGATTTCGCCCACTTTGAGCCCTATTTTCGGCCAATTCCAGTGTACTAGTCAACAAAAATAATAGCTGTTTCGCTAGAACTAATGATAGCTATTTCACTAGAACTCCATTTTTTCTATCAAATGAGTACAAGAAACCACCCACTTACCGATTTCAACTATCCAATAAAATGGTCAGAAATTAGCAATTTTGCCAATTTCACACAAATTTCAAAAGATGCCAATTTCCATATAGGGTCCAGAATAAACAAGACAGACATTCCTGGCACTAAAATAACATTTCCTCTGTTCATTAGTCACGTCCCCAGGCTCCTCTTACATTTCTTTTGCTTTCCACTTTGAATTTTTATTCTCACAAAAAATAGAAGATTTACTGTTATGCAGACTACTGCATTAGTGTAGAAATGGTATAAATAATATGAGCGCACTTGTGAAAGAATATTAGACTTGCCAGTTGACAGTGTATTGGACGCATGGCATGATTTGTTTACTTTTGAACTTTGGCAAAAATTGAACATTTCTGATACTTTGAACTCAATTTCCAGGTACTTTTCATTGTGAAACCAATCAAAATTATCTCAATTTCTGTAATATGTCTTCCATTCTATAAAATGAGACCAGGAAAACTAGAATACAACCATAAATACCATACGAAAATACAGTGCAAAGTCACTGTTTTAAACCAAAAACACGATGAAAGTTTTTTTTTCTCATTACGCACTGTGTGCTGCAGGATTGTTTTTATACTGTGCACACTTACCACATAGACCCATTCTTTCATGTGTAGGCCTACCAGCTTTCTCGCTAGATGAGAAAGCGTACTAGTACGTCAATAACCTTGGTGCGTAAGCCGTACTAGTACGTCGGAAACCCTGAAAGGGTTAAATAATTGAGCTACGCTTGTAGATTTGTGATTACTAATTACACAGTATAAGTCTGTCTCTTATTTGGAATATGGAAGTGGTGTCCATAGGACTTGAAAAGGGTATTCCACTGTTTATATAAAGTATTACATTGTAGTTCCAATTGCTAAAGTGCATATTTTTACAAACATAATAAAATTATTTACCTATCCTGTCAAAATACTTAAATCAATTTAAAATAAATAATTAACATAGAGGAGGGCCCCGCTCATACAGTAGGTTAGGCTCTGGGCCACTGCTGCAAAGTGAAAACCACTGTAAAGTGAACCGTAGCCTTTTTTCACTTTCAAATGCATAAAAAAGCCTGATAACATACTTACACTATCATATATTAAGTTAGTAATAGAGCTTGGACTAAAAAATACATATACAGTAAACACACATTATTTACCTTATAATATATATTCATCCTTAGCTTATATTGAATAGTGAATACAGTCTCTCTACATTTAGCGACATACTCATTTACCGACGACTCGAACTTACAACAGGGTCTCTGACCAGTGTGCATGCCTAAATTATGTATATTGGAGCTGATTTTCTCTATTCTGTTTATTACAATATACAGTACACTACTGTACAGTAGGGCCCCACTTGTACGGCAGATTAGATTCCAGGCTACTGCCGGAAAGCAGACATTGCCGGAAAGCAGAACGCCATTTTTTTCCACTTATAAATGCATATAAATACCAGATAACAAGTTTACACTGACATATATTAAGTTAGCAATAGAACTAGGTATTAAAAACAATAAAAGTAAAATACTACACACACAGTACACTCATTACTTACCTTAAAATATTTGTAGTCTTAATGTGGAGTGAGAGGTGAGTAGTATTTACAGTACTTGTAGGAAGTCAGGTATAGGAGGTATGGTAGCCAGCGAGGACACCCCACCCACACATAATATACCACGAAATTTAAAGCTCCCTCAAGCGATAAAATGTATATACAGTACATTCATTACTTGCCTTAAAATGTTTGTAGTCTTAATGTAGGGCGAGAGGTGAGTAAACGAGGTAAAATGAATAAACAAGAGAGGGAGGATGAGTAAATGAGAGAGGAAAGAGACTTGGAGTTGTGTGTAAATAAGCAGATGAACTCATCTGGTTTTGGTTCACACACGTAACATCTCATATTTGTTAATTTATTATACTGTAGAGTGCATTTATTATGTTTATATGTTACGTAGTGTGTTTATTATATAATTTTTAACCCTTTCAGGGTCCCCAGGCCCTCTCCGAGACTTGTTCTCAGGGTCCCCAAATTTAAAAAAAAAAAAAATTTTTTCTTATGAAAAGATAGAGAATCTTTTCCCGATCATAATGACACCAAAAGTATGAAATTTGATGGAAAACTTACGGAATTATGCTCTCGTGAAGTTAGCGGTCTCGACGATGTTTACGCATCGGCGATTTTGCCCACTTTGAGCTCTATTTTCAGCCAGTTCCAGTGTACTAGTCGACAAAAATCATAACTATTTCGCTAGAACTTCAATTTTTCTATCGAATGAGTACAAGAAACCACCCATTTACCGAATTCAACTAGCCAATACAGTGGTCAGAATTTAGCAATTTTGCCAATTTCACACAAATTTCAAAAGATGCCAATTTCCGAATAGGGTCTAGAATAAACAAGAAAGACATTCCTGGCACTAAAATAACAAGTTCTCTGTTCGTTAGTCACATCCCCAGGCCCCTCTTATATTTCTTTGGCTTTTCACTTTGAATTTTTATTCTTACAAAAAATAGAAGATTTACTGTTAGGCAGACTACTGCATTAGTGTAGAAATGGTATAAATAATATGAGCGCACTTGTGAAAGAATATTAGACTCACTAGTTGACGTGTATTGGACGCTTGGCATGATTTGTTTACTTTTGAACTTTGGTAAAAATCGAAGATTTCTGCCACTTTGAGCTCAATTTCAAGGTTACTTTTCATTGTAAAACCAGTCAAAATCATCTCAATTTCTGTAATATGTCTTCCATTCTATAAAATGAGACCAAGAAAAGTAGAATACAACAATAAATACTATACGAAAATACAGTGCAAAGTTGCTGTTTTAATCCAAAAACACTTTCAAAGTTTTTTTTTCTCATTACGCACTGTGTGCTGCAGGATTTTTTTTATACTGCACACACTGACCACATAGACCCATTCTTTCATATGTAGGCCTACTAGCTTTCTCTCAATAGATTTGAGGGCGCTAGAATTTATGCATACTAGTACGTCAAAAACCCTGGGGCGTAAGCCGTACTAGTATGGCCGAAACCCTGAAAGGGTTAAAAAAATATCATAGATGGATTAATGAAAATGTTTATATTAATGTAATGTTTGACATTTAATGCTCCTTGGTGATTATTATTGCGTATTATTATTATTATGGCGTCCTCAAGACTAATAAAACACTCTTGGCGATTTTAATGTGTACCTGCACGCCACCACAGTGTGTAAGTTTATTTAGGTACAGGTACACATAAGTATAATTATCAGAGTACAGCCTCTCCTCACTTAACGGCGGAGTTCCGTTCCCAAGACCACGTTGTTAAATGAATTTGTCGCTAAGTGAGGAGCATACTATAATGGTAGTGAGTTTGTGTCAGCCATCTTTGATATTGTTTTAATGTCACCTTTGCACCATTTATAACATTCTGGTATATTTTTAAATGTTTATACAATAGTGTACTGTATATTGAAATAAACAGAATAGAGGAAATCAGCTCTAATATACATTATTTGGGCATGAATAATGGTCAGAGCTCGTTGTAAGTCCGAGGCATCAGTAAACGATTATGCTGCTAAGTGAGGAGTGGCTGTTTATATAAAATATGAAATAACTTTAAAACACTTGAAATTTTGGAAAGTTTCCAGACATAATGGAGAGATGCAGTGCTCATGGAGCTCGCAGAGAATATAGACAAACCGGGTGGGGTGCAGCGACTATTAGAAAGTCAGGTGGGGGGGGGGGAAGCCATATAGAGTTTTGGTCATAATTTGAAATGTCCGTATTAGTGGAATGCCATAAGGCAAAATGCCCTAAAGTGGGGCCCTACTGTATAAACTTTTAAAAATATACCAGAAATGTTATAAATGGTGAAAAGTGACATTAAAACAATATCGAAGATGGCTGACACAAACTTACTACCATTGTAGTATGCTCCTCACTTTGCAACGAATTCATTTACTGAAATGGTCTTAGGAACGGAATTCCGTAGTTAACCCTTTCAGGGTCCGTGCCGTAGTTCTACGGCTTTGAAGCCAGGGTCCAAACCATAAAACTACGCCAAAACTCTAGCAGCCTCAAATTTAGTATGAGAAGGCTGGTAGGCCTACATCTAAGAGAATGGGTCTGCGTGGTCAGTGTGTGCAGTAAACAAAATATCTGGGCACCCGTATGGCATTGTGGGAACGCCACCTAAGTACGCTTTGTTCACCACGTCTGGCAGCAAGGAAGCTCTCACTCCCTGGCGAATTCTAACTCTCCTCTTCCCAAGTTATAGTTCTAACACTGATGGAAGTGGATCTG